GCGAGTAGCAACTGTGAGGGCCGGCACGGCACACGAGGCCGGACCGCCTTTGTCTCCCGAAGTGGCGATGTTTACGCAACGCACCAGGTACTCATTTGAGGCTGAGTCGACCTAGGGAAAGCCCAGGATCGGTTCAGACAATCGTCACCGGAGGTTGGCCATGAGCGGGAATCGTGAGCGGGAATCGTGAGCGGGAATCGTACTCGGTTCGCAGCAGCAGCGCGCTGACCGCTACGGTGGGTCTGTCCAGATTGCTGGCCCGGGATTTATTTCCACGCCCAGCACGCCGTGTCCGATGCACTCCTCACTGCGGCTCCCAGTAACCTGCCTCAAAACCAGAACCCAGCCTCCGCCTTCACTTCCCCCCGGGGCATGCTGCTCCTCACTTTCGGAATTCTCGGTTCCATCGTTGATCTCGGGGCAGAAAGGAAACGAGTGAGAGGACAACACCACCTCCTTGCCACGCCTGTCCCTCCACGTAGGAAAAACAAAAACAAAATGTATGTACACATCCCATCAGCAACACATCATTCTGGGATTGCATAATTTCAACAGCATTGGTTCAGCAGTCGGGCTCGCTTAAACCACAGTGGCTCAATGCAAGCAAATTCTGGACAGGTTTTGACATTCCATGTCTCATCAGCAGAGTCAGGCTCACTTAAACCACAGTGGTTCAACGCAAGCAAACTCTGGACGGGTTTACACATTCCATGTCTCATCAGCAGAATCAGGCTCACTTAACCACAGTGGTTCAACGCAAGCAAACACTGGACGGGTTTTGACATCCATGTCTCATCAGCAGAATCAGGCTCACTTAAAACACAGTGGCTCAACGCAAGCAAACTCTGGACAGGTTTTGATATTCCATGTCTCATCAGCAGAATCAGGCTCACTTAACCACAGTGGTTCACCACAAGCAAACTCTGGACGGGTTTTGACATCCATGTCTCATCAGCAGAGTCAGGCTCACTTAAACCACAGTGGCTCAACGCAAGCAAACTCTGGACGGGTTTACACATTCCATGTCTCATCAGCAGATTCGGGCTCACTTAACCACAGTGGTTCACCACGAGCAAACTCTGGACGGGTTTTGACATCCCATGTCTCATCAGCAGAATCAGGCTCGCTTGAACCACGACGATTTAACACTCGCAATCCAAGGGAGCAGCGATTTTTATTTTTTTCCCCGAGCGACTGTCAGGACCGCCGGCTCCCCCTCCCCCGGGCTGGAGCCGCGGGCGCGCGGCGCGGATGATGGCTGTGTGTGTTTTCTTGTCGTGGCAGGGAAAACGAGGTTTGATTAAGGCTCCCAGGTTTGATTAGCTTCTGCTGGCGGTGGCCGTAACGACGGGAATTTGTCAGTGTCTGCTCGGGAGACCGAGGGAGCGAGCGGCTGTAAGGAGAAAGGGGGAGGAGGAGGGGGTTTAGCGTGTGGTGGGATTAAAAAAATGTTTTGTCCCTGTGTGACTTAACGGCTGAGACGTGCCCGCCCGGCCGTGCCTCCCAAGTCGCTGTCCTCGCCCTCGTCGCCATCGGCGGCCGCGATCTCTCCGCTGCCGGATGGACTGCCTCCGCAAGCATCCGATCGCGATCCCGCGACGCGCCGATCCGCCCAAGCGCCTTGCGCAGAGTCACGGATGTACCGCGCGGGGACAGAGAGAGATACTTTGTACCTTTAGTATAGTTTAGACTTGTATACCACTTATTTTAGATTTAAGTTTACCATATGTTGAATGTATGCACCTTCCTGCCAAAGAAAATTCCTTGTCTGTGCGAACTTTCATGGCGAATAAAACCCCTTTCTGATTCTGATTCTGAAGGAGAGAAGGAATGGGGAATGAGAGGAAAGGGATCAGAGGGGCCAGGAGAGGCGAGGAGAGGGCGAGGAAGAAGACACCGCTGCTGCTACTGCACGGAGCAGCGTCTGTTTTCACAGCGGGCGGCAGTGGGGAGAGAGGGGGTGGGGGAGGGTTTCAGAGTGGGGGTGCCCACGCAAGAGCCACGTGACTTACAGGAGGCTTGAGCTGATTTAGACACGCTGCAGTTGTATGATTGACTAAACTTACGGGAAAAAAAAGTGGGTTATTTTTTTCTTCAAATGAGTAGCTTCTCCTTCGTGTTAATGGGAACTCATTGCATAACTGTGGCTTTGGCTGTGGATGTGATACTGTGCACGTGCCAGCGTGTGTGTGTGTGTGTGCGCACGCGCGCATGCATCTGTGTGTGTGGTGAGCTGTGACAACCTGCGCTGTGAACCCCGGAGCACCTGTGTTCGATTCCCAGCCACGCCTAACAGTCGTGCCGAACCTTGTCTAAACGTACTATGGTCCTGCCGTAGACCGACTCAGCCATAAGTGAGTACCTGCTGTGCCCTGTTGGTGTGGTTCTGGCCAAGCCACCCCTTGTGCGTATGCCAGGCTTAATAGGTGCTCACTAACAGTACTTGCCCCAACATAGTCTACAAGGCTGTAATACAGAGGGGGGTTTATCTTTGTGTTTTGTGTGTGAATGTCGGCGAAGTGGTTAGCGTGCTGCACAATGATCCCGATGGCCCGGGTATTGATCCCCAGGACATGCCCAAAATTGTTGAACTTGCTCCGGGCCTGCCCTGGGCCTTCCCCGGACCTTGCCAAGGTGCACTCGACTCTGGAGGCCTTCATTCAGCAGTGGGCTCACAAAAGGCTATCTATATGTTATTATTCTATCATTATTCCGTACCTCGAAACACTGGGCACCGTGGTGGTGACGTGTTAACTACCTTGCCTGGTATACAGGAGGTCGTGGGTTCGATCCCAACTGACGCCTGTATATTTAGAGTCTTTCGTGTTCTCTCTCCCCATGGTCACGTGGATTTTTCTCCGGGTTCTCCGGTTTTACCTTCCACATTTAGAATCAGCATCACGCGTTCAGAGTATTTGGCAGCCGTACATTTCCACGTGATGATAAGCCACTTCGTTGGGCTATCATTCGTGATAGCCAGGTCGCTTCCGAAAAATAGCTATCCAGCTCGGGGTGCCTTACCTGGTAAAATAAAAAAATAAACAGTTTCGTTTTTTAGTTTACTGGCTAGACAAAGGCGGCCTGACCGCAGCTTCCACTGGCATATCAATTCCACCCTCAAACGGCATCCTGCCACCGACACTCGCTCCAACACATGGTCTCACCGGAGGTGATCTTTGTTGTTCTTGTTGTGGAGTGCGGGCGGGCGTGGGTGCCTGGGCGCAAGGGAAGAGCCATTAATGCCCGGGGCCCTGTCCAGCGTTTCACCAAAATACCGGGGAGGAGGAGGAGACGTCTGCCTTGAGTCGTGGCAAGAACCGCCGCTTCCCTTTGTTCGTGGGAGAGAGCCGGCCCGAATGTCTCTGGAGGGCTTTTTACAGGAGCCTACATGTCGTGCCATCGTGATCACTGTCACTTTCAATGACACCCCCCCCCCCCCACTCCTTAGCTGGGGGGGGTTGTGGTTTGGGGAGGCTGTAGGGGGCTGGGGTGGGGGCAGAGGAGTGTGCAAAGGCAGTCTCGTAAAAACTCACACAGGACAGGAGAAGCATTAATTTATGTACGTTGAACTTCTTCCGCACCGTACGTAGCCAACCGTGCTAATCAGAGATGTGGGTTAAGGACCAAAAACGAACACAAAAAGCAGTTCTAAAAAAATGAGTTTTCAATCCGGATGTAAAAGTGGCATAGCTCCTAGTGGCTTCTGAAAATCAGCAGCAAGAGCGTTCCAGACGGCCGCAGAAGCGCATCTGAAAGAGCCGCGCAACGCGGTGACCGCCATCTTTTTTCGACGGCTGAGCCAAAAGCTGCTGCTGCGAGGAGGATGACCGTCCGACCAGGACCCATTCCTCGTGTAAAAAGGAAAGGGCCCTTGCCTGAAATCGTCGGGCAGTTCACCACCATTGTTTCGCATGAGCCTGACACTGCTGCCGATGAGACACTGACTGTCAAATGCGGTCCAGAGGTTATTGGTCGTGTCCTACCAACGCTGCTGGCATTGTGCGCCTCCCGGACGGCTATGCAGCTGGTGGATTGTGAAAAGAAAATGCTGAATTTTGTATCATGGAGAGACAAACAGGGGACGGATGTATTATTCATGCCTTTTATTTTTTTTTTAAATCAGCGCTCGGATCGCCCGGTGTGACAATCGTGGGCAGGCGACGGCAGGGAGGTTATCGCTAATTCAGCACGCCCTGACAAACCCGCAGGCAAGCAGGGGGGTGGTGGTAGTGTTAGTGGTTGGTAATGGTGGTGGCGATAGTGTAGCGGTTACTTCCCTGTGCTACAGACCTCGCGACCAGGGTTCGATTGCCGCTCACGGCCAAGACCAGTAGCTGAACTGGTCCTGGGCCTCCCCTAAGTATACTCTGCCTCAAATGAGTACCTTGTGTTGTGTATAAACATCGCCACTATAGGGAGACAAAGGCAGCCAGGCGTGGTGCTGGCGAGGTGTTCACTAACAGCACAACAGTCTGTTAAGTTGCCCCCCCCCCCGCCGCTGCCTTAATTAATCTCCGTGCCTTTCACTGCTCCCGACGCGGATTCAAGGCTGGTTTCGTTAACGGCTGTGTTTGTGTTGCTCGGCGTAGTCGTTACGAACCCGGCGACCCAAGTGAGTTCAATTCCCGCTCACGGCCGATAATTGCGGGGAAATATTTGAACCCATCCTGGGCCTGCTCTAGGTCGACTCGGCACCTCGGTCTAATAGCTGCTGCGGTCTGTAAACATCAGCACTGGGGAGTCAAAGGCTCGTGCGCTGTGCCGGCCTTCATCAGTGCTGCTCGCTAACTGCGCTCGGATGAGTGGCTGCTTTTGGGGTTACTCGCCCAGTCACTTGTGAGGTGTTCAATGGATTTTAACTCATGAGCAGTGAGGTCAGATGTGACTTGAAACGAATTGAGAGTAAATCGCAAATGCAGGGCTTGGGGCTGTGTGATTTTAATATTCATCGCCGCTCCCACCCTCCGTCTCTCACCCCTCCCGCCATCTCCGACCCACAGAACTACGGGCTGGAGACTGAGAGCTTGCGCTCGCTGTCGCAGAAACTCACGGCTTCCGCCAAGAACCTGCAGAACCTCGTATCAGGACGCGGGCGAGATGGCTGCGGCGGCTGCAGCGGCGGTGGCGGAGGCGGTCCCGTGGGGTCAGGAGCCGGCGGCGGTGGTGGCGGCGGCGTTGTCGTGGGGGGCCGGTGGCGCGAGGACGGAGCGGACGGGTTGTGCGGAGGCGGGGCCACGGGCCTGGGGGGCCCGGGCTGCATTGCGTCACCGGGCGGCGGAGCCGGCAAGCTGCCCAACCACGTCCTCACCGCAGTGGTGGAGCTCATCGGGGCCGCCAAGGCCTTCCTCGCCTGGCTGGACAAGTACGCGCGACGGTCCCCGCACCACCACCGCCGCCGCCGCCGACTTCTGAGCGACGAGGAACTTTCAGTCGTTTATTGAGACGTTTGCGCTGTGGACCAGCACCGGCATTCGTTTCCACGCCGCGCGGTGCTTATTGCGGTCGTAGGCCTGGTGTATTCCCGACGGAGTCTGCCGACTTCCCGGAGACGCCTGGCGTGGTTTTAAAAGCGAAGTGGCGCGATCTGATTGGCCGTGAGAATCGTTCTTCGGGTACCGGGAGCCAAAACAATGACGGTTTGGCGCGCCGCCGAACGCTTGCGTGCGCGTCGGGTGGTGGAGGGGGAGGGCGCGACAAAAAAATTGGCAAGATCGTCACGTGGCCTGACCCAAAAGTCAGTCGCGAAGCACGATTTTGGCTGCGAAAAGCCGGACTCGTCATTAAAGCCTCGTCTAATCCGGACGCGTCGTTCAAGCCTAGTCTAATTGAGAAACAGCCGGTGGAATTCGCGTCGAGGCTTACTTAGTCTGTGGGTTTTTATTTGCTCATTCCCTTAGTCTGGTGCAACGGGGCCAGCTCGCTGGACCTGCAATCCAGAGGTCGCCGGTTCGATTCCCTCTCCCGGCGTGGAAATTCTAACAATCGTGCAAGTTTCTTAAATTCCCCTCCACTCCCCCTCTACCCCCCCCCCCCCCCCCACCTGTGGTCCACCCGGTGGTATAAGTGGGTACACGACATGCGTTCGATCGGCAGGGTCACATGGGGTGGGATACTCCGACCTCTGCCAAGCCGTCTGGCCAGGGTGGAAGAGTAGGCCCAATACGCCATTCAGGAGGTGGTCTCTCGATAACATTTTATTGCAAGGCCCCTTCCGACAGAATTGGCGTGAGCTGGCAATTTCAGCGCCGCGCCTTTACCTTCATTACGCCTGTGTTTGCTTGCGGTACTAATAGGAATCGCAATCGATGATCGAATTTTATTTATCATGAGTCTGTGAGCTGCGAGTCCGTGAGCTGTGAACCCATGAGCTCATGAGCTCATGAGTCATGAGCCCGTGAGCCCGTGAGCCAGACCATGGAACCCCCCCCGGAGCGAGCGCTGCCGCTGGCTCACCCCGTGACGCTCGTTCGCTCTCGCTGCAGGTCGTCCTTCGCGGGCGTGAGCGACACGTCCACCCGGAGGAACGACATCATCCGCCTGTGCCTGGAGCTCACGGCGATCGTTCAGCAGGTGGGAGCGCCGTCGTCATCCACGCATGCCCCCCCCCCTCGGCCCCCCCACCACCTCCTTTGCCCCCCCCCCGCAGATTTAAAAACGCCGACGGAAAATAAATTAGGCCTTTTAGCCTCCCGTTAGACGGCTTCTCTGCGAGCGGGGCGCGCCTTCATCGCACGCCGCCGTTTGAACGGCAGACGTTGAAATGAGTCTCTCATTTCTCCGCCGCCGCTTTTCAAGAAATGTTTGTTGACGCGCCATCGGCCGTTTTATTACTATCCCGGATTCTCGCCCAAATACGGCCGCGTCGGCTCTTCGTTTTTGGTGGAGAAAGAAAAACGTCAAAAAAATTCCCCCCGGGCGGTCTTTTTTTTTTTTGTACTTACGGTCAAGATTCCGTCGACGAGGTCGCACCCGCTCTTCATTTCATCAGCCGCGGAGGGAGGGATAATGACGGCGATGGTAATGATGATGATACGCCGAGCCCAACGCCCGCAAACCGGGATTGGAACTCGTAGCGACCTCCCCGCTCACGTTTTCACGGCGGGCCACGCTGCTCGGAGACGTCCCGGGAGTTACTGCCCCCCCCCCCCCCCACGTCATGACGAGCAAAACGTCGGACAAACGGCCGTCGCTCGTCACGTGGAAACTACGTGGCACGGTGAGCGTGTGGGGGGAGGGGTGCTGGGTGGGGGGGGGTGGGGGGGGGGGGGGGGAGATCCCTGCACCGGGCTGCGTTTGGAAGCCGTCTCTCTGTTGTACGCGGGGAGGTCGAGCCGTGGGTTTAAAAGAAGCTGACGCACCAATTAACCCTTCCCCCCACACCGCTACCAGATGCGCAGCCAGTGCGAGCGAAATTAACCCCCTTCCAGCGATGGGCCCGAGCGCAGCGGAAGCGATTGGGGCGGCTCGCTTTTTTTTTAATTTCTTTTTTTTTTTGCTTTTGCTCGAGGCGTTGCGATTTCGCGGTCCGGCGAAGTCACGTTTCGCGGGTCGTTTCAAACGGTTCGCGGGTTTGCGATTCGACGACGCAACGCGGCCCTGCTCGCGAATGAACCCTTGCTCTCAGAGCGGTGGCCGATTTAACAATTTTATGCGTCGCCCGTTTTTGAATATTTGACGGTTCGTCATGGAAGCGACGTTAATTTGGCGTTCGGGACATCCTCACGGCGCCGAGGCTCGCCACGGAGGCGTTATCGCCCGGTGCAGCATTGCACAGTCCAGGCGCGTAGCTGTGCGTGTAAACCCCCACCGAGCAATTTGCAGCGCGATGCTTTCTAAACGCTGGCACGTTGCAGCACATTTTCTCCGGCAGACAAACGGCTCCCACTCTCATCGAATGAATCCGAATCGGAATCTTTAGTTATCCCGGAGGAGGAGGAGGAGGAATCCGATAAGCTACGAAGCTCTTTGTCAGTCGGGGCAAGGGGGGTGGGGTGGGGTGATCGGTGGGTTGCATCGACAAGCAATGCAAATGACGATATAAGGGCAAGGTACAGAAAAGGGTTGAGCAAGTCGCCAAAAGTAAATATTAAATAAATGACGTCGCCGTATCGCCATAGCTTCCACAGCGAGGAAAGACGGTGCGTGTTGGACCGTGGAACCGCCTGCCGTATTAACCGGGGCTTTTACGCTGGATTCGAACTGGCAGACTCTGCAAGGAGTGGCGGCAAATGCTCCTTACTGATGTGGCCGGGTCACCCCCCACCAACAAAGACAAATATCCCCCGTATAGCCTGAACAGATTGTTGGGGCAAGTGCTGCTAGCAAGCACCTACGAAGGCCGGCGCGGCACACGAAGGGGTGGCCAGCACCACGCCCGGCTGCCTTCGTCTCCCCGGCGGTGATGTTTTACACATCGTACCAGGGCACACGTTTTAAAATCTGAGTCGATGAAGGGGAGGCCCAAGAACGGTTCAGATAATCGTCACTGGTTGTTGACCGCGAGCGGGTATCGAACTCGGGTCACGGGGTTCGTAACGCAGCGCGCTAACCGCTGCACCACCCCCCTTATTTATATCTGCAAGCCGCACCTTCTCGCGGAGAGTTTTCAAGCGTGTCATTATCCCGGCTAGCGAACAAACAAAAACATCTCCGTGACCTCCGCGACAAAACTTTGACGACCAGTGCGGAAGCGATGGGGGGGGAGGGGGGTTGGGGTGGGGGTGGGGGGGGGTTGGGGGGGGGGGGCTGATGGAAATCGGAGCACGCCGCGTCTGCTTCGTTCGGTTTTTCTTTCCGTCCGCTCGGCCTTAAAACCGGCGTGGCCCGTCGGGAACGTTTTGCCGAGTGCTGTTGGTGAGCACCTATTAAGGGCCGACACCAGCACGGCACACGAGTTTGGGGGGGTGGGGGGGGGGGCGACGCATTCGCCGGGCCGCCGTCGATTGTTTTACGTCGCTTCAATTGTTAAACGACGCGCGGGGGGGGGGGGGATCTTGGGAAGGAGAGTAAAAAAAATATATACTATTAATATCCCGGCATGGTGGAGAGAGGTGGGGTGGCGTGGAGTGGGTGGAGGAGGCGGGGGTTTGGGTTGTGGGTTCGGAGAGGGAGACAGCGGGGGAGGGGGAGCGTGTGGGAGGTTGCCGGGCGGTCTTTTTCCGACGTGCATTTTATTTCGAGCCGCCCACACCCCCGCCCCCCGAGCAATTTTGTCGTGAAATACTGGAAACATCGCGGAAGCGGCCTCGCTGATTTACTCCGCCTGCCGCGCTCGCGCTGGCAAGCTCGCGAGAGCGGGAATATTTATCTCCGCCGGGTGCTCCAGAGCCACGCTCAACTCCCAATGAAAACGTCTCGCCACGTTTCCCCCCCCCCCAACCCTAACCCTAACCCTACGTCTCGCCACGTTTCCCCCCCCCCTCCCCGCCTTTCTCTCGCGCTCCGCATCTCGCCCCATCGCCATCGACTTCGCTTTACTATCGGCCCGATGAGACGGCGCTGGAATTCCAATTAATTTGTGCGTGCGGCCGCGCCGGCGAGGCTGGGCACAGCGGGTAGCACTCGCAACGGCGCGCGAGGGGCTTTGAACGCGGGGAGCGGTAGCGCAGCGGTTAACCCTTAAGTTTCATTCCCCGCTCACGGCGGATGCCAAGGACGATTTCTCTGAACAGTTCCCGGTCCTATCCTAGGTCACTGTGGGAAGAACCATTCTCGATCATCGCCTATTGGTGCGGAAACTTGACAGGGCATAGATAGGATTCGCACAAGCACGCAGATCCCCCGTACAGCCTTCAATAGGCTGTTGGGGCAAGTGCTGTTAGCGAGCACCTGTCAAGGCCGGCACTCAGTGGTGTGGCCGACACCCCTGAGTTCCGGCCATCTTTTGTCCCCTAGGTCGACTCAACATCTCCCCTAGGTAGACAAAGACGGCCGGGCGTGCTGCTGGCCACCCCCGCCTCCTCGTGTGCCGTGCCGGCCTTCAAAGCGGCTCGCTAACAACACTTGCCCCTAACAGTCCGTCTTTGGAGTGTATCCCTTATTCTCCCTGCTCTGTGGAGTGTGTGAGAGAGCGAGTGGGGAGTGGTGGGATCCGCGGCTAGTGTGCTGCGATCCAAACCCGGCGACCGGAGTTAGATCCCCGGCTAGTCCCACTGTTCACGCAAGTACTGATGATAGCGGGCACCCATTAAGCTCGGCACGGCGGACGAGGGAGTGGCCAGTACCGCGCCCGGCTGCCTTCGTCTCCCCAATGCTGATGTTTTACACACCATACCAAGGTATTCATTTTTATATCTGAGTCGACCTAGTGGAGGCCCGGGATCTGTCGCTGGTGTTGGCCGTGGGCGAGAACCAAACTCGGGTCGCCGAGTTCGTCACACAGTGCGCTAACCACTGCGCCACCGCTCCACACACACACACACACGCACGTAGAGACGTACACACGCACACACTCGCTTCTTTCCAGCACAGTGTTATTCTGTTTAATCTGCCTTCTCGTATAAAATATGAGCAGAGAGCAAATTAATCAGAAGCAGTTTAATTTATTGACGTGCTACATTACTAAGCAATGTTCCTGTGTTTTTTAATATCATAATTTTTGTTCTTTCCTGGAGGCTGTGAGCAACAATTTACTAAGCGGATTAATCGAGAAGAGCAGCACACTTTTTTCCTCCCAGCGCCGGAAGTTTAACGAAAATGATTTTGGCCCCGATATGATCGATCATTCATTAATTTATTCATGTATCCATTCATCCATCCTTTTCTTCCTTCATCCTTACATTAATTAATCCATCCTTCAATCCATCAATCACTCTATCCATCCATTCATCCATCAAGCCCATTGATCCATCAATAGATCTTTACATCAGTCTATTCATCCATCCATCCACCTATCCGTTAATTCCTTCATTCATCCATTCATACATTAATCTATAGATCCATAATGTTTTTTTACAACCATTAATTAATCCATCCAATTATCCATCAATCCATCCTTTCATTCATTCCACCCATCCACCCACCCATCCATCCACCTATCCATCCATCCGCCTATCCATCCATCCACTTATCCATCCATCCTGCCATCCATCCACCCATCCATCATCCGTCCATCCAGGATGCTGCGTGTGCTCGAGCAGCACGTTTGGACCGCTGAGTACATAGGTCATCGGCCGGTGACGGCCCCTTGAGCGATGATTTTTCTTTTTACATTTTTTCGTGCCGTTCGTGAATTCTAATCTCGCTCCGCCAGTCAGCCACGGTATCTCCTCCCCCGCCTCACCCCACCGTGCTTTGTGATGTGTCAAATTATCTCCGGATATGCTAATTAGCACTACGCGGCTCCCCCTTACCGCTGAACAGATTTGAAGTGCTCGGTCAAATTGTATACAGCAGCCCCTGTGTAATAGATGTTGGTTCTCTCTCTCGCTTTAGACAGAAATAATAATAAAGTCAGAGATAAAGGCGCAGCTCCGCAAGTTTGCTTGCTTACGCCGCTGATGCCAGAAGGGTCGCTGCTAACCTAGCCAGAGAGTAGCATAAGAGAGCCCCCTCTCGTGAGAGCGTATTTG